TTGAATATATTTAATAAAAATTTATGCGTTAAAAAGAATATTTGGCACTGTGTAAAAGGCACACAGTGACTTTTAGTTTTACATCTTTTTTTCCATGATTTAGTGATGTATAAATTAGCATTATTAAATATTAATCTTGATTTAATATTATAATATTATAAATGTACTTATTGTGTTTCTCGTGTACAAATGTGCATATTGTAATAAACATTTAATAATGCAGCATATATTTTTATGAAAAGTTTTTATTTCTTATTTTTGTTGTTATATATACATTATTTGTTGCAATAATTTTTTTCATTACTTCAGTATAATATTTTTCCAGAACAGAACTATATCGATATCTGTTCAGTAATTATGCAAAATTGATTGTAGTGCTTAATTTTATTTATCTAAAGCTTGTACAAACCTCAATAACTCGAACTTCTACAACTCGAAAACCTCTAAGACAAAAATTTTGTTCATCCCCTTCCGCTCCACTGCGGAAAATCTCTATAAATTGAAATAAAACCTACTTTAACTCGAATTATTTGTCAGGCATTTAAATATTTTACTTCTGTAACTCGAATTTTAAAGTAGCCAGACCTCTACAAGTCGAAGTTTACCTCTATAAGTCGAACGCTTCCATTGTTGCTATACCTCTGATCTATATTCGAAGTTGTAGCTTTTGTGTAACCGTGAGTATAATAGCCTGCAGGTATATATTTTGTTTTATGGTTACATTTATCATATGTACGCAATAAATAATTCACTATTAAATATATTGATTTTCTTTTCTCTAAAAGCCATTATAATCAGAAAATTATAAACTCTCGTATAAAGCCGCCGAATTAAACAAATTATTAGTGTATATGACAATATAATAAAAACAGTATAAATAGTACATTATTATTTTATGCGTTAAGCACTTATAAATATATATCTTGTCACTTTCCTCAAATCGAAATTTTTGCGTTGCAATCGAATCTAGTTTAACGATATACATATAGCATATACATACAGTCACCAAACTAATTGACCGGACACTGCGTTAATATATCGATAATTTCTAAAAATTCAAGATAGAGCAACTTTGTCAAAAATTATCATAACATAACGATCGAAAAAGTATTTCACAGCTTAAAGTCTCTACTTTAGA